GGCGCCCCAGTGCACAGCTCCTCCTCACCGGCTGGGTGCGTGAACCGTAGGCGTGCCTATTCCCGCACGACCCGCAATTTCGCGGCCGGCAGGTTGTGACGATGCACAACCAGCGCGATTTCGTCTTCTTCCGCCACCACCGGTACATCTTTGAGCAAAAGGAGGAGCGGGGGCAGGTCTCGGCGCGGCTGCAGGAGCTCGGCCCGCGCTTCACGCTGCGGCTCAAGTCTCTCCAGCTTGGCACCTTCGATACGCAGCACGGCGAGTACGAGTGGAAGCACAAACCGGAGCTCGACACGAGCCGCAGGCGCTTCCACGTATAGACGGCCCGCCATGTGTTTTACCGCCCGGGTGGTTGTGGTTGAGAGGGGAAATTTGGGAATGAGTGATGAGCATAAATAAATAAATAGAGCAGACATCTCCAGGAGAGATGGGCGACGCACGAACACATAGAGCAGACATCTCCAGGAGAGATGGGCGACGCACGAACACACACCCCCTCGTCTACTCGGCTTGTTGTGCGAGTATATGGGCCAAAAGCGTCGAAAATGTCCCAAAAAGCGTGTCTCGAGTTTGTTGCAGCTCCGCAGCCTGCGCGCGCTGCCGGGACGCACCGCTCGCGCGTTCGGCACACTCGGTGGACCCCACCGAGTGTGCCGAACCAACGGGAGTGAGTAGGCTCGACGCCGTACTCGAGATGGAGCTGCAGAAAGTACGCCGCCGAGCGTGCCACCGACGGCGTCCCGGCGGCGGTGATGGAGTGTGAGACCTGAGGCTGCGGAGGTGACGCCTGAGGTACCAGTCCGTGCACAGCGACTCAGCCGGCGACCGCCACGGGCTCAGACGAGACTTGTCGACGCGTTCCGGCTCAGCTTCACCGTGGTCATCGGGCGTCTGTCGACGTCAGGACCACCCATACAGCTCGCGGGTTTGAGGTCGCAAGAGCCAAGATGGTGGCGTTTGGACATCCCAACCATCACACAAGACAGCCTGTAGGTGGTGGCGGGACGGCGCAGTGTTTGTGGCACTCGGCAGTAGGCACCCGCGGCACGGCCCCGCTGTCGGCTCTCGCTGGCTGCGGAACCGGCCCCAGAGGGGGACGGTCCGGGCGAGTGTGGCAGCTCCTGCGCTAGTCTGGGCACCCTCTATCATAGCACTACTGATCCCGGTCATTAGAGCTGCCAGGGATAGCGTCAGGAGCCTATAGGAGTCAAAACCCCTCATATTTGAGACATCGTGGCCCATATATACTCGCACAACGAGCCACTCGGGCGGCATCGTGGGTGAGACCCTGGGCAGTCAGAGAGGCTGACAGTAAGTGGCGGGCTGAGAACTCGGGCCTCTCCCGACCCGCCATCGCTGCCTAAGGGAGGATCCTATCGGCCACTAGACCTGACAGATCAGAGGCGCACACCGCGCCCTGTCCCAGCTCCCCCACTCCTCACACTGGGTTTGCAGTGCGCGGCCTCGCCACCTCCCTACCAGGGCAAACCCCCTCTCTCCCCCTAGGTGCTGCACTTGACGTCCATAGAAGGCGCGCGGCAGAGGCGGGAGGGAGGCGGGGAGAATCTAGCTCGCTCTGGCAGGGAGGCAAGGGTGTGATAGAGTGTTTTGGGTGAGAACAGGCGGAGTGTGTATGCCTGTACGCGATTGGGAGAGCACTCGTGACGAGGCATGGTTAGGCGAGTGGCAGTCGCTAGTGCGGACTTGCTAAGTCGTGTGTGCTCCCTTTTGCTTGCTAAGACTGGAACAATCTTTCTTTTTTTGACGCACGAACACACTACACAGAGGGACAGTGCGCACCCCGCCCCGCTCGCAGGGCGTGCAGCACACAGCGGCAACACAAGACATATCTACGCTGTGCGCCTCCTCGGGATTTCTGGGGAGGTAGAAGTGATGAGCAACCTCTGTGCGATTTGAGCCCGTTTTCTTCAAACTGAAGTTGCCCTCGCGCACAGCAGCGCCGGAAGCGCGGTGCAGCCTGCTCCCGCATCATTCGACTCGAGGTGGCAAAGTAAGGAATGGCATGCAACGCATCATGGGCGCTGACGGCCGAGGAGGCCGCCAAGCGCCTCGACGTCGACCTCTCCGTCGGCCTGGATCGCGCCGAGTCAGAGCGCCGGATCGTCCTGCACGGCCCGAACGCCATCCCAGACGAGCCACCGACCCCGTGGCTCCGCCTCATCCTCGCACAGTTTGACGACCTGCTCGTCAAGATGCTGGTGGGAGCGGCGGCCGTTTCATTTTGCCTGGCAATGGGCGAGGAGGCCGGGGAGCGCCTACATGCTCTCGTTGAGCCGCTCGTCATCGTCCTCATCTTGCTGCTCAATGCCGTCGTCGGTGTGTGGCAGGAGTCGAACGCCGAGCAGGCCATCGAGGCGCTCAAGGCGTACGAGCCCAACGACGCGGAGGTATGGCGCGAGGGGGCGTTGTGCGTCATCGCTGCCTCCGAGCTGGTGCCTGGCGACGTCATCCGCGTCGCAGCGGGCGGCCGCGTGCCGGCAGACTCGCGACTGGTGGCTCTCGAGTCGACAACGCTCCGGCTCGACCAGGCGCTCCTCACGGGCGAGTCGGTGCCGGTGATGAAGGAGACGGCCCCTGTCGCCGACGCCGACGCCGAGATCCAGGCGAGGCACAACATGCTCTTCTCGGGCACCACGGTCTCGTACGGTGCAGGCAAGGCACTCGTCGTCGCGACGGCCGCGTCGACTGAGATAGGGAAGATTGGCGCGCAGGTTGCCCGCCCACAGTCTCTATCCGGATATGTTGTGGCCCCGAGGGACCTCAAGATCTCGCGCGAGTGGCTGCGGATAGGTCTCGGCGACGGAGACGGCCGCCTCGCCGCTGAAGGCCCCCCCCTTGGCCCCCCCCCCCCCCCCGCCCCGCGCGCGCGGTCTCACTACATCTCGGCGAATTCTGCTCGCAAGGTCAAGCTCGACGAGTTCAGCGCGCTGCTCACCAAGGCGATCGCCGCCATCTGCATCCTCCTGTGGCTGCTAAACATCCAACACTTCACAGACCCGATTCACGGGTCTGCCGTGCGTGGGGCCATCTACTACTTCAAGATCGCAATCGCCCTCGCCGTTGCCGCCATCCCTGAGGGTCTTCCCGCCGTCGTCACCACTTGCCTCGCCCTCGGCACCCGTCGCATGGCGGCCAAGAATACCATCGTCCGATACCTGCCTTCGGTGGAGACCCTCGGCACCACGGCGGTGATCTGCTCCGACAAGACGGGCACCCTCACGACGTCGCAGATGGCGGCACGCTGCGTGCTTACGCTCTCGTCGAGCGGCCAGCCGCGTCTCACCCGCTGCCACGCCACCGGCTACGATCCGACCGCCAATAAGCTCCTCGCTGCGCGCGACGCGCGCGCCTCGAAGGGCGGCGAAATGGCCGCAGCCGAGGAGCCCCTTTCAGAGGCGGAGCGACTGTCGGAGCCGCTCGCATCGGTGGGCGCGGTCTGTGCGCTCGCCAACCTCGCACACCTGCACCGCGCCTTCTGAGGCGCCGCTCATTGCCCCACCCCAACCTTCTGAGCCCGGGCTTCCTTCTTTGTAGGCGGTACGTGCAGGGCTCATGGACCCATACTGGCGAACCGACCGAGGCGAGCCTCCCGCACACGCGAAACTCTCCCCCTTTCCTCTCTCCACCCATGTCACGTCGGCCCCCGGAGTGTCGCGTCCCAGACACTCCCCCCGCAAACATTTCCCAGATTTTCCCTTGGAAAACACCCCCCCCCCCCCCCCGCCCAGGCGGCGCTCCGCTCGCTCGCCGAGAAGATTGGGCTGCGGGGCGTGCCCGCCGCGGACACGGAGGAGCCAGAGCGCACCTCTGCCGCCTGGCTCCGCCGCTGCACGCCCCTCGCCACGCTGGAGTTTACGCGTGGACGCAGGCCGAAGGCCAGGCTGTGTGCTCGTCTGTGTTGCTTCGCTCTCACGTCACTCTCACGTCTGCAGGTCGATGAGCGTGCTCACCCGCCGCGGCGCTGGGGCCGGCGCGGGCGGCGGGGCCGGCCGCCACTCGCTCTTTGTCAAGGGCGCGCCTGAGTCGGTGCTTGCCCGCTGCACACACGCCATGTTGGGCGGCGGCGCGGTCGTGCCGATGGTGCCAGAGCTGCGAGCTTCGCTGTTGGCGACCGTGGGGGAGCTCGCCGGAGGCAGTGAGGCGCTCCGCTGCCTCGCGTGCGCCGTGCGACACAATCTGCCCGCCGATGTCTCGGCGACACCGCCCTCCGCCTTGGCGGGGTGTCTCGCCGCTTTGTTCTGACGTGGCGCGTTCTCCACGTCTTAGGCGCTTCCGCTCTCGGACCCCGAGCGGCGCAGCGCCGGATCGAGGGGCGGTGAGGTTGCGCTAGTCCGAGGCCCGCCACCCCTGTCTGGCTGTAGGTTTGGGGAGGTCGAGGCAGGCCTCACCTTTGTGGGAGTGGTCGGAATCCATGACCCCGCACGGCCGGAGGTGGCCGCCGCCATCACGCAATGCGCAGCTGCGGGGGTGCGCGTGGTGGTGGTCACAGGCGATAATAAGCTCACTGCGGAGGCAGTCGCACGGCCAGCAGCTTCGGGCTGGGACGCCTTCTTCCGCGCCTCACTCTCTACCCGCCGTCCGTCATAGGCGCTTTGCCGGCAGATTGGGCTGATGCAGGGCGGCGCAGAGAGTGCTCTCGCCACCGGCGGCACCAGCCGCGGTTGCGGCAGTGACGGCGGCGAATGCTCGAGCAGCCGCAGCTCGGGCGAGGAGGGTGCCGGTGGGTCCAGCGGTTTGAGCGGCGGCTTGACGGGGCGGGAGTTTGCTGCGCTGGACTATGAGGCGCAGTTGCGGGCGGTGGCCGAGTGCAGTCTCTTTGCGCGCACCGAGCCCGCGCACAAGCTGCGGCTGGTGGAGCTGCTGCAGCAGCAGGGCTACGTTGTCGCGATGACGGGCGACGGCGTCAACGACGCGCCTGCGCTCAAGAAGGCCAACATCGGCATCGCCATGGGGTCAGGCACTGCAGTCGCAAAGACGGCGTCCGATATGGTCCTCGCCGACGACAATTTCGCTTCCATTGTCGCAGCGGTGGAGGAGGGGCGCGCCATCTTTTCAAACACGAAGGCCTTCATCCGCTACCTCATCTCGTCAAATATCGGCGAGGTGGCGTGCATTTTCCTCACTGCGGCGCTCGGTGCCGCGAGGGTGGCTGTGCAACACCCTGCCCGTCCGCCCTCCGACCCCAGCCCGCTTGCTACCACAGGCATGCCCGAGGCCCTCGTGCCCGTGCAGCTGCTCTGGGCCCTCTTCCCCGGCGCTTGCACCGTTCCCCGTGTCATGGCCATGACGCGTCATGACAAGCAATAGGTCAACCTCGTCACCGACGGGCTGCCCGCCACTGCCCTCTCCTTCAACCCTCCCGATGCGAATGCGATGCGCCAGCCCCCGCGGCCTCTGTCGGAGCCATTCATCGATGGGCCGCTCGCTCTTCGCTACCTTCTCATCGGGCTGTACGTCGGCGTCGCCACCGTCGCGGGGTTCGCATATTGGTTCGTCGGTTTTGAGGGCGGTCCCCAGATAACTCTGCACCAGCTGACACACTTTGGGGAGTGTCCCAGCTGGCCCGTTTCCGACGGCGTCGATTGCGCGGTCTTCACTTCATTGCGCCCACGCACCGTCGCGCTTTCGGTGCTCGTCACCATCGAGATGTTCAACGCGCTCAACGCCCTCTCGGAGAAGGCGCGCCTGCCGCTCGAGCCTTGCTCGGACCTTGCTCGGCCTCGCTCGCGCCCCTCAGCCGTTCCGTGGGCTGCTGCGTAGGAGTCCCTGCTCGCCTTCCCGCCGTGGCGCAACCCGTGGCTCGTCGGCGCGCTCGCGCTCTCGTTCGCGCAGCATTTCGCCATCCTCTATGTCCCCGCGTTCAACCACGTGTTCGGAGTCGCACCCATCTCGTTCGCTGAGTGGAGGCGCCGGCCCGTCTCGGCATGGCCCCATCTAGCCTCGTTTTGCTCTCAACCCTGCCGCTTCGCGATCTGCGCAGGCTCGTCCTCGCCGTCTCGGTGCCTGTCGTTGCTCTCGACGAGTGCATGAAGCTGCTCGCGCGGCGCGGCCTCTCTAGCAGCAGACCCCTCCCCTCCATCAGCGCGTCGCTCGCGCACCACGCCGGCTACACTCCAGTGGCCGTGGAGGAGGAGAAGCGTGTCTGAAGGGGGGGGGGGGGAGGCTCTCCTTTTGGGCGGGCGGGCGGGCGGCGGGGGGGGGGGGGGGGGGGGAGTGCTAGGTGCGCGGACCACGTGGCGCGGCCACAATCTGGTGGTCGGAGCTCCGTCGCGGGGCGCGACGACCCCCTTTTTGCGTTTCGCGCGCCGCGATGCCCGTGGTAGACGCGCAATAGTGAGAGAGAGTCGAGACCAAACACGAATATACGTAAATCGTACACATATTCATAGTATCAGAGCTGTGCTGGCTGCTGAGGCCTGAGCCTAAGGCCCCACCCAAGGGCTCTTTTTTTCATATTAAGACACATATATACGTGGCTGGGTTCACAGCGATTGTAGGAAAATTGGGGGAACACTTGACGGTCGCGTGTGGAGTTGAAACTCCGGAGTAAAAATTCGAACGCGTTCTCTCACGGTGACCAAAAAATGTCCACCTCAGAGGCACCTCCGGAGGCAGGCCGCCGCACGCCGGCGACACAGCTCCAGCTGTCGAACTGACCCGCAGCTCCTCTCAGAGCGGGAACTGTGACGAAAGTTGACTGAGGCGGTTGTCAGGAATCATCATACGGATCACATGGTGGCTCTCTCATGACGGGAGACCGCCCGACCACTCCTGGGTGGCACTGCCACCGGTGTCGCTCGACGTCCTGTCGACAGCGTGCCGACAGCGACACAGACCATGTGGGACGCGTCGAGTATCGACCTCTACTGCTTACCCAGCCTTCGAGTGTACCATGGCTATGGTCCCACACCTACTGGTGTCCACCTCAGAGACCGCAGGAGGTCATGAGGGTCGATGGGAGTGCCAACCCCACAATGCCTAAAAACCCAGCCCCGGGGTTCGTCACGCGGTTTTGCCCTGTGTTAGTGCTAGCACGCGCCGTTCCGCACCTGTGTCGAGCCTCTCTTGCGTACATTCCCGTAGGAGGATTTTGGCCGTTCTGTGTATCTCGAGACCTCGAGAGAAGGCCGCCCGAGAAGGGCTCCCCGAGGGCCCAAGTCAAGAAAATTGGCTTTCTTTCTTGTGCGTGGTGTACCTGTGTTAGTGCCAGTGCGCGCCAGTCCCGTGCCCAGTGTTGTGCCAGGGAGTTTTGCTTCGCATTTTGACCGCGCAAGATATAAAGGGTGGCTAAGGGCTCTGCCCGCAAGGCGCCCGCATCGCCGTCCCCCATCGCAGACGCGGTACCATTGACAAATCTGCATATACCCCACACGAACAAATAGCAAAATCCGGATTAGAGGCGAGAAAAAAGAATTGCGAGCCGGCAAGAGAGCCGGCTGCAGCCGATCAGGGTGGAGCTGGGGTGGAGGCCGACGTGGAACGACCCGAGAATTACATACCATGGGCCAGCAGCTCGAACTGACGGTCGTGGTGCCAGCGTTCGACGAGGCTCCCAACATCGAGCCCCTCACGCGCCGTCTGTTTGCGGCTACACGCAAGGCATGCGTGCGCGCCGAGCTCATTGTCGCCGACGACGAGTCGCCCGGCTCCGCAGCGACGGCGGCTGCGGTGGCCGCGCTGGCAGCCGAGGGGTTCGAGGTGCAGCTCCTCGCACGTAAGCGCGGGGAGGGGCGCGGGCTCGCATCCGCGGTGCTGAATGGCTTCGGCGCCGCTGCGGCGCCGGTCGTCTTGTGCATGGATGCCGATTTGCAGCACGAGCCCGAAGCTGTGCCGGCGGTGGCGAGGCCGGTCCTCGACGGCGACGCGGACTTCGCGGTTGGGTCGCGCAACGTCGGGGGCGGTGGTGTCGGCTTCGAGTGGTCGCTCTTACGGCGTGCCATCTCCCACGGCGCCACTCTCCTCGCGGTCCCCCTGTCCGGCTCATCGGACCCCATGTCGGGCTTCTTCTGCCTGTCCAAGGAGACGCTCGCGCGCGGCGCGGCGGCGGGCATCAAGACGAAGGGGTTCAAGATCGGGCTCGAGCTGATGGTTCGCTGCCGCTGCACACGCGTGCGGGACGTGCCAATCACTTTTCGGGACCGGCTGGCGGGCGAGTCGAAACTAACGATGAGGCAAAACATAGAGTACGTGCTTCAGCTGGCGGACCTCTACGTCTTCAAGTTCGGGCTCCTCCCCCTCGTGCTCCCCCTAGCCGCCGCCCTCGCCGCCCTCGCCCTCGCCCTCGCCCTCGCAGTCCGCGCTATGGGCTTGCATTAGCTGGGCGGAGTCTCTCTTCCGCTCCCTCCCTCTCACTCTCGACTCTCTGGCGGCGGCCGCCGCCGCCGCCGTCCGCTTCCTCGCTCGCTCGCTCGCTCGCTCCTGCTTGCAGCTTGGCCTCGTTGTAATCGTGAGCTGCCAGCGCTCCTTCCTTAGGGGGTTGCAGATGACGGTCGGGGCTCGTTCCGCCGCCTCGTGGAGGGGGGAAATGTTAATAAGATGGTAGATCAAATTACTTGAAAGCCTGTCGGCATTCACGTTGTCCCGCGCACAAGGGAAAAAATATCGCGCCGCGCATTAGCACTACGCGCGCACGCAAGAAGTGGGCGCGCCCGGCGCCCCCCCTGCCTCTCCCGTCCCAAATCCCGCGGGCCCTGGAGCAGGGCAAACTGCCCCACGCCCCCGTCGCCCCTCCTCGCTCGCCCAGCTTCCACGCTCTCTGCCTCACGGCGCCCGCCTCGCACGAAGCGCGGCACTGACTGAAACAGCGCCCGCAGGCGGCTGCTGTCCCAAATGCCGCCTCGCAAGCGCGCCGCCGCCACCGCAAAGTCGCCGTCCAAGCCAGCATCCAAGGCGCAGAAGAAGTCCAGGAAGGGAGCAGAGGCGGCTGAGCCGGACGTCGCCGTCGTCTCGACGGGGCGCGGGCCGCGCACGGCGGCTGAGGTGTGGGGAAACGCCGAGTACGTGGAGGACGGGGTGATGGGCGCGGCCGGCTTCGCAAAGCTGTGCGAGGCACTCGAGCTGAAGGAGATGTCCTTCGAGGCTTGCTTTCTCAACCACCTCCTCTCGCCGACCGTCGACAACATCATGGTCGTGTGCAAAACAAAGGCTGAGCTGCAGCGCTGCATGGAGGGCCTCGGCTGCAGCACGCTGCAAGAGGTTCCGGCCAAGCTGCGCGCGCGGCGGCAGGTGATTGAGAACTCCTTTGGCACGGCCGACTGGAACCGCTTTTGGAAGTGGCTCTTTGAGATGGGCAAGGCGATCCAGGCGCTCAAGGTGAGCGCGCCGTCAAGCTCGGTGCGAACGGTGCCGCTCGACGAGGGCCTCCAGCTGATGGATGCGTCGCTCGGCGCGTGGTGGCTGTTCCCAAAGCTGCGCCAGTTCTCGGCGTCGGTCCACGGCCAGGCCTTCACCAAGGATTTGTGGCTGCAGATTGGCCGTTTCGCAAATCTCACCGCCGTCGGCGTCGTGCTGCGGGACCTGAGCAACTATGACGACGACGCGGCGGGCGGAGGCAACGCGTGGCCGTGCTTCATCGATGAGCTGGTCGAGTGGGTGCAAGGCGGCGGCGGCGAGTGAGGCCAGGAACTGAGAGGCCGCGCTCGCTCTCCGCTGAGACGTGAGAGAGAGCGCGGCGAGAGCGGGGTCGCCCACCGCCCCCCCCCGCGCCACGCCATCCGCGGTCTTTGTGCAGGGTCCGTTTGTGTGTGTCGGGGGGGTCGGGGTGCGTGTGACTCTGTGTGTGACTCGGTGACGAGCGGTATACCACGCGTGTGAAGCTCGGTCTGACAATTATATTATTATAAAAAAAATTGTTCCAGTCTTAGCAAGCAAAAGGGAGCACACACGACTTAGCAAGTCCGCACTAGCGACTGCCACTCGCCAATTATATTATTATAGAGACGCAAGAAAGTAGAAACCGCAAAGCCCCACATGCATATCCCCCTGCCCCCGCTCGGGCTCAGCTCCGAAATGCGAAAAGCGAAAACGAGCCCAAGAACTATTGCCAAACACGAGACGGCATCAAAATCAAAAATCGAAGCCCGCTCTCCCCGGAGCCCGGTACGCGGTAGCCCGGTTAACCCGCTCACGCCTCGGCCTCTGCTCGCGCGTCGACGACGCACATCATCCGTGCGGAAAGGAATTGTCCGCCACCCACGCGTAGCTCGGAGGCGCCTCAGCGACAATCGTGCGCGGCGTGGCGCTGCCGCCGATGCCGATGCCGTGACACCCGTCGCTCGCGGGCGTCTCGACCTGCAGCCGCAATCTGTGACGGAAGCGAGCCGGGTCGTTGCAGAGGAGCAGCCGCATCGCGTCGTTGACCTCACACAGCCGCTTCAGCGGGCAGGTGGATGCGAGGCAGGACGCGCGCAGCGAAGTGGCGAGGGGCAGTCTGCCAGCGAGCCAGAAACTGCAGCAGCGGGAGAGTGGTCAAGGTAGGTTGGAGGTGCGGAGGAGGGGGGGGTTCTGTCGCCTGAGCGCCGCGGCTTCAGCCGGCGGAGACTCGTCAGACTGCCACAGCGGGTGGCACCTACGCGGAGGTGTTGCGTGTCGGAGGCAACCACTGGCGATGGCAACACTCTGACGGGCGGCGCCGAGGGTCACAGAGCGGTCCAAGGCCGAGCTCGTCGTCGAGGTGAGAAGGCTCGAGCGAGAAGGCGCGCTGCTCCACGCCGCGCTCGAGGAGGTCGCGTGCACGCTGCGCCTCATCGTGCACCCTCTCCTCGCGCGCAGGTGACAACATAGGGTCGTCATCCACAGGCTCAAAGTTCGAGATGGAAGCGCCGCCCTCGCCTCCCTCAGCTAGGGAGTGGAGTCTTCGTCGGTCGCCGGTGAGGCCGTGCACCACGCCAGACGGCTTATCGCTGAGATGCTGGTCGCAAACCAGCCGCAGCTCCACCGCAATCCTCCCAACCGGTCCCAGCACGGCAATTCTCGAGTCATAGCGCAACGCGGCCGATATTGCCGCAGCAAGAGGAGAGCTTGATAACGTCACAGCTGACCCCGGAAAGAGAACACTTGGGTAACGGACGAGCGGAAGCCTGAGCGTCGCCATACACACGGCGAGACCCAACTCGCTCCGAGAAAGGCCTCGATCTTCTTCGGCAGCAGCTGATCCTGCTGATCGCCGTGGCCCAGCCTGCCGTAGGTTCCTCTGCCCCAGCTCCGTCCCCCGGCGATATATCGATAGGGCTTCGGGCGCTCGTTGTGTGATGAAAAGCCGCGAGTATTTCTTTTCCATGATTGCGAGAGGAATCGCGAGAGTCGACGACCGCGAGGTTTAGGTTTGTTGTTGGCAAATCAAGACAAAGCGAGGTGGAATGAAGGTCGGTGCGAGAGTGACCGACACCGAGTGAGAGAGTGAGGGAGGGAGAGAGAGTAGATAGAGAGCGAGATCGGCCCAAAATGCCGGGTAGGAGGGGTCTAGGTTACCTCTACCTCTGAGGGCCGGCGGCCCTCTTACCGTTACCTCTGGGCAGCCGTTCGAGGCAGCCGTCGAGGCAGCCGTGGGCCCTTTACCTCTGTGAAGTAGGCCGTGATTTACCTGTGTGCGTGATCTCGAGTGGGGGATCTCGAGAGAGGGAGATTTTTGAAGACCAACAAGAAATCACCACGGCTGATCTCGAGTGATCTCGATGTGATCTCGATACTAAGCTCTAAGTTCTAAGTTAACGATAGAGCATCTGCGATTTTCACTCGCCGGCTCATGGAGAAGGAAAAATTAAAATGCCCTGAGGCACGAGTGTTTCTGAGATCAGCTTAGGTGAGTGGCAGACATTTCAAAAAATGGGCGCCGCCACACTTTCAGAATGGAGGCAAACGCAACGCAGGGCTCAGCTGTGCCCAGACCAAGTCGATTTGTACCAAAGTTGGTAACTGTGAGTTGGTAGACAGTGCCAAAACCATGGAATCGAAATGGCTCTTAAATTCGCGCACCTGGTGTCCGCACTGCCGCATGGTGCGAGCCGCCACTCATAACCTCATAAGAAGGTCTCCGCTGCGATGCTTCTGCTGTCTGCGTCAATGCAGCAACCCATCGAGCGCGTCACTATGACCTGACCCCTCTGATAACCGACGCCGCAAACGGCAAGCCTGCGTCCGTGTTGCATATGTTCTCCAGTCATGTTCGCATTGCGGTGGATGCCAAATTCGAGCCACTTGAGCAATCATGCACAATCAATGCGCCGAAGAACTGAGACGCAGATTCTTTGCACCGGGTCAGCAGGCAGGCAGTGCAAGGTCAAGTGGTCGCGGCACTGGTCATTCGCGATGCGGTAGGCGATGCGATCAGCCGCCGGCAAGCGGCGGTGAAGCCTGGTCACGGGCAGGCGCGCCGCAGGCGAAGCGCTCTCGCGGGGCCTTCCGTCGGTCCCATGGTCGTCCCAACCTCGAGCCCTCGGCGGGCACGTTCACGGGCGTCCCTCACCTGGGCTCCGTTTACCTCTACCTCCGGCGGTCTGAGACAGGTTTACCTGCCGCCCCCTCCCCGCCAGCCTTACACCTACCCCCCGCCCCCGGCCCCGCCCTCCGGCTCCGGCCTCCCCCGCTCCGCGCTCCGGGCAGCGAGAAGCATTACCAAAACGCAAAAGAACCGGCCAGCTCGTCGTGAGTCTTTCCGTCGCTGCTATGCCCGACCCCATCGAGCTCGTCGAGCTAGCCATCGCGCAGCGCGAGCGTGGCACGATGCACCCGTCGATGGACAGCTATGACGGCGCAATGGCACAGACCTGGGGAGGACCGCCGCCGCGCTGGTACCCGGCGGCGTTGGAGCAGTGGCCGTCGCGCTTTGCGGCCGCGGCCGGCCGGCGTGCGCTTGTCACCGGCGGCACGGGTGGGATCGGCTTTTACGTAGCCAAGCTGCTCTGCCGCGTCGGTCTCACAGTCATCCTGCCGAGCCGCCCCGACCTGTCCCATGAGGCCGCCTCGGCGGCAGCCGCCATCTCCGCAGCCGTGCCCGACGCAGCGGTGGTGGTGCCCGAGGTTCCGCTCGACCTCGGCTCCTTCGCGTCGGTCCGCGCCTTTGGCGCGCACATGCGAGCGTCGGGCTCCGCGCCGATCGACACGCTCGTCCTGAACGCCGGCCGCGGAGGCTCCTCCTCGGGCGCCAACGCGGCCTCTGTGGACGGGGCAGAGGTCTGCGCCCTTCAGACGGCGAGTCTTGAGCCGACACGCAGCCCTTCAGGCGTGAGAGACCTGCGTCTTGGCAGGTGATCATGCAGGTCAACCTGCTCGGCCACGCGCTGCTCGCCGCCGAGCTGCTGCCGCTCCTCAACCGCTCTGGCTTTGTGCGGGTCGCGGCGCAGTCGTCGGGCGCGCGCTTCAACGCGAGGGAGGCCGACCTGCGCGCAGACCTCGGCAGCAGCCTCGCCGCCGTCGCCCGCGCCTCGCCGTGGGACCAGTACTCAAAGTCAAAAGCCGGGGCGTGCTTGCTGGCGAGCGCGATCCAGCGCCGCCTCGCCGCCGCCGGCCTCGACGGCGCCGCAGTGGCGAGCGACCCGGTGCTGTGAACAGCGTCTGTTCACACCTGAAGCTGTGAATAGGCGCCGCAGTGGCGAGCGACCCGGGCCTCGCCGCGACGGGAGTCAACGTGCAGCACGACCTCGCCGCGACGCTGGGCGGCCGGCTGCCAGACACGAAGGCCGTCGCGCCGCACGCCGCCTCGTGTCTCCTCTCTTCTCCCCTCTTCTCGCCTCTCGGGCCGCGCGGCCTCGTCTCGCCCCCGCCTCGTGCCGCCCACCGCGACCTCGCGCCCTTGCCGCCCAGGCGCTGCACGACGCCGCCGCCCACCACGCGGCCGACGGCGCCCTCCCCCTCGCCCTCGCCGCGCTGTCGGGCGCGCGCGGCGCCTTCTACGCGACGGCGGGCCGGCGGGCGCGCTCGCTCGAGGAGGCGGCGCACGAGGTGCGGGCGCCGTTCCCGCGCGGCGACCCCGCCGGGTGGGGGGAGGAGACAGTCGAGGCCTTTTGGGCGCGGTTGGGCGAGGCAACGCCTGGGCTAGTCGAGGCGTGGGCCGCGGGCAGCCGGCACGAGCAGGACAAGGGCGAGCTGTGACGCGAGCGAGAAAGATAAGAGTTAAGAGAGGGCTCGTCTGGAAGAAAAAAAACGAGCGACATCATACACCATGGAGACCAACAGCCTTCCCCAGCGGTGTGGAAAGCGGCAGCGCAGCGCCGGGGAATCCCGCCCGAGAGACGGGAGGGCAAACATGGGAGACGGCTAACAGTTTGGCTAACAAACAAAACAAAGAGGGCCGACTGCGGCTCAGAGCATTCCTAAGGACCCACCCACCGCGCATAGGCGCGCAGGCGAGGGTGAACTGTCCGAGAGGGGCGGCACTCTCGTCGTAGAGGCTTAACTCCAAGTGAGTCTGCGGCCCCGCGTAGCTCGTTTCGTATGACGACGTCGAGTCCGGCGGCGAAGCGGACCGAGGGCCGAGGAACGAGGCCACCTGCAGCTCGTAGCAGCGACCCTTGGCCAGCATGCTCCTCACTCGAGCTTGCCCGCGTGAACGGGGAGAGCAGCCGGTCGCGCTCAAACTCCTCGCGGTCGCGCTTGCGCGCCGCGCCGTCGGGGCCGTAGGCGCCGAGCCGGTTCTGCGCCCGCTCGAGCCAGCCGTAGAGCTGAGCGCGGCAGCGCTTGTAGGCGAGCGCCGCGTCGACCGCCGCGTGCCAGTTCTGCCGCGCGCGCATCCGTGCGGGTGGGAGGCGGACGATCCTGGTGCACGGATGGAAGGCGTGCTCCGCAATCTCTGTGGTGGTCGGGACGACGACCTGCTTGAGGGCGCTGCAGCTCGAGAAGGCGCTGGGCTCGATCAGCGTGAGGCTGGCGGGGAAGGTGATGGACGCGAGCTTGTTGTTGTAGGCGAAGGCCGATCTTCCGATGCTGATGAGGCCGTCGGGAAGGCGGATGTGGTTCAGGTCGTGGCACCTGGAGTCGAGTGCGTTGGTATTGAGGAGGAGAGACAGACGTGTAATATGGAACGCACGAGACTGTGTTTGGCACACGCGCGCACCAGAGGAAGGCGCTCTGCTGGATGCGCTCCAGACTGGCGGGAAGGCGGATTTTCCTGAGTCTGTAGCACCCGCAGAACGTGCCGCTTCTGATCTCCTTGAGGCCGGCGGGAAGGACGATGGACCTGATGTCGCAATGCTGGAAGGCGTACTGTCCAACAGAGCAACCGTCAGGGATGGTTATCGACCGGAGCCCGCTGCAGTTCGCGAAGCTGCTGCTGCCAACATAGACGAGCGAACTCGGGAGTGTGACTTCTTGCAGGCACGCTTTGGAGTAAAAGGCGACGCGAGGAATGTGCGTCGTGCCGTCTGGCACCTCGACGAGTCGGTGGAAGCCGTCCCAAGGCTTTGGGTCAATAGGCGGAGGAGGAGGCTTCTCCGGCCCGAAGAAGTACCTGAACATCTCGGACAGCCTGCGCCTTTGCATTGCGAGACAGGATCAGGTATGAAGCTGCGAGCACTCCGGTGAGGACTCGCTCTCTGAGTGCGAGGACGAAGGCGGCTGAGGCGAAGCTGTTACCAGCCACTGAGCCGCTGGGCAGCGAGTGGCCTGCTTTCTGATTACGAGCACGCCAATGAAAATAACACGATTGCCCCACAGCAGAGCAGGGAAGGCGTTGTTGGGGGGAGGCGTTGTTGAGCATCCCTCCGGGGGCCCCTCTGCGCCGGGGAGGCGTTGTTGGCGGCTAGGACGCAAGCGTCCGTCGCCTTTTTCAAACTCGGGGCCCACTCCGCTACGCTCCGACCCGAATTTGGAGGGCCATGAAGTTTAAGGTGGCAGTCCGGGTTTCGCGAGACGGGTGTCGTCCCGCACGATGGCATCACGCTCACACCTGCCGACCGCCGCCACGGCGGCGAGACGCCTTCTCCGCCACCGCAGCGCCGGCCACAGGCCAGCGCTAGGCAGCTACCGGCCACACCGGGCCGGATTTGCCGGTAACCGTCGCCGCACACTCCTACGTCCACGCCGCTGTGACGTCTGGCGACGAGGCGCCGGCCGCCAAGCTTCATCGCCAACGTGGTCGCTGGCTGGTCCTCTCGGCTCGGCCACGCGTCGGCCCAGCTCACACGAGCTCCAGACAGCCACCAGTCGCCGCGCGCAAAGCGTACGGGTCGCCGGCTCCCTGTTGTGCTCTCACGCTGGCCGGCGTAAAACTGTACTGGCAGTTGTCATGCCGTACCCGTCGCGTTTCGAAAGGGAGCCCTCAATCGACGCGTCTACACGCACCGCGCCACCGCTCTCCACAACTGCTACCGTGGACATCAAGCTCCTCGACTCGATCTGCGGCTACGACGGCGCTCTAGCTGCTGGCTCTCGCGAGTGTCTGGCGACCCGCTCAGGCTTGCGAAACGGCCGCCCACGGCGACGTGTTTCGAGCTCGCTGGCCTTCTCCGCGCGGTTGGGCCCGCCCCTAGTCGGGGCCGACCCGCCCAGTCACTGGGCAGCGCGTGCGCCGTCATCCTGGACGACGGTGTGCCGATGCATCCGGGAGGCTCCGCGGGGCTGCTATAGCAGCCTCGGGAGGGTCGAAAATCGAAGCCGGAGCGGCGGACCACGGAAGCTCCACGGACGGTGAGGCGGGCTGTGGTTGGCCCCCCCTGACCGGGTGAGGGAGTGGCGCCCCGGGAGTGCCGCTCCGGCGACGTCTGTGGCCTCCAAGGTACCGTGACCGCGGTGCTCGCTCTCGCGGCCGTCTCACGACCTGCTCGAGACGAAAACTGGAGCGGACGGTGCGACGAACCGCGAGTGGGATGGTCTTCTCCGCCCGGCTGGGGCCGCCCCTAGTCGGGGCCGATCCGCCCAGTCACTGGGCAGTGCGTGCGCCGGCGTTCTGGACGACGGTGTGCTGGTGCATCCGGGAGGCTCCGCGGGGCTGCTCTAGCAGCCTCGGGAGGGTCGAAAATCGAAGCCGAAGCGGCGGACCACGGAAGCTCCACGGACGGTGAGGCGGGCTGTGGTTGGCCCCCCCTGACCGGGTGAGGGAGTGGCGCCCCGGGAGTGCCGCTCCGGCGACGTCTGTGGCCTCCACGGTACCGTGACCGCGCCGGCCTCGCTCGGGAGGCTCTTTCGGAGCCGTCGGCCTCCGAAACCGTCGCGTTGCTGCGCCTGGACGGCTTCGATGCTCGCCAAACCCGTCGGCACCGTTCATATACACATGAATTGTGAGTGAACGCGCATTTTTTGGCGATTTCATTCGCATATGCCGAAATGTTAGTTTCGATCTAGTCCTCACGGACACAAAACAGAGGCCTCCTAGCACGGAGAAGCGACTAAGAGTCGCCGACGTGCGAATGAAATCGCCGAAAAATACGCCCGGAATCACAATTGATCCCGTCGACAAGGCGCCCCAATCGCGGAGGTCTGGCGCGGGCGTGGAGGCGAGCATCGACGCCTCGACGGTTGCTCTTCAGAGGCCGTAAACAGGCGCCTGAAAAAGGAGAGAACGCGAGACTGATCACGCGCGCGGAAAAGCCCGAGGGGCGAATCTAAAGTGCCGAGGCGCTTGCTAATCACCCCAGCTAGGGCCACGGAGGCGCTCGCGGCAGGTCTCCGCGCGCGCGCTGGCCGGTGGCAGCTGATCTCGGGCGGCGGGCGGCGGGAATGGGCTCGGGCGGCACCTTTTGCCCTCAAAAGTCGTTCGAGAGTACCGGGTCGCGGCGGGAACGCGCCCATCCGCTCGATGGGTGTCAGGAGTCGATCGCCTGCGCCAGGAGCGAGCACGGGAGTCGTCGCGATGGGAGTCGTAGCGGCGTGGCGCTCGGCTTCGAGAGAGCGACGTGGGCGCGGCGGCGCGGGCGGCCGGTGGGGCGCGTGAGGTCCGCACCTTCGCGACGGGCAGGCTCGATACGGCCGCTGGCCGGGGCGGCCGCTCGACCGGCCGCCGCGGTCGTTCCGGCGGCGGCGTCGGCGTCGGCGTCGCGAGCGAACTGGCTCGCATTCGACGAGCGACCCTCTTCACACAGAACCCGGACTGCCACCTTAAGGTGTTGCTGCGCAAAAGGGGTCGGGGCGCGGGCGCGCGCGCGGCAGGCCGAGAGTTCTTTTTGGAGATCAGACCTTTCGATGGCTCATGCTTTCTATGTCTATCTCATGCTTCATGACACGACACGCGGTGGTGGAGCTGGTGGAGCTGTCAGCTGATCGATCCAAGCGGGTGGGGAGGGGGAGGCATGGCTGGCTGCAGGTCTGCCCGTCGGCCCGGCCTCTGACGTGGTGCTGCCGCTGCATTGGCTGAAGAAGAGAGGTGCGACTTGATTGGAGGCGCTGGAGGCAATGGCGCTAGCGAAGGGAGGTTGGGCCGGGCCGTGAGGGGCTGATGGCGCTGGCCAGCGCGGGGTGTGAGATGTCGTCGCTCGTCGTATACTGCTGGCCCTCGCCCTCGAGTTGCCAGGGCTGTGGGCTGCAGAATTTGCGTCTGTAGCGTCTACGTCTGCAGGCTCTGCAGCGTGATGGCAGGCGGGACTGCGAGGCCGGCGGCAGCGGAAGGAGAGGCTGGGCACGAGCCAGGAACAGGCTGGCCAGGCCCGCAGGTGGCTGCGCTCGGGCGAGGCGCGCGCGCGCATGGCAGGCCGAGCAGGCTCGGCATATATGGTGAACCTCCGATGTCGCGATGGATGGGATGCGGTCATTTCGCTGACGGTCGATATCTCACATGCACACAGACCAGGGGTAGTTGGCGGGGTCATGGGAAGCGTCCGTCGTGAATCGTGTATATACGTGGCGTGTGCTACAGCTCTCAAACGGCTTACAGTGTGATAAAGCCCTCTTCCCCTTTCTCTCTCCCACTCTACAATAGTACGGTAGATATAGTCGCGTGCAAAACGTGTGAACCCAATTGCGGCGGTACGTCTTCCCGATCACCTAGGCATAGGGCGCATACCCCCGGTACCGCTGTCCGCTCAGCCTCAGGCTCTCTAGCCGCGACATTTCGTACGCGCGAGGTAGCCGTAAAGAGGAGGCCCCTGTGTTCCATTACACACTCTTTTGTGTATTACCTCCTCTATTTGCTTTCACGACAGCGCGCGCGGCCCACACGAGAGACGGGGAGAGCGTCCGAGAGAAGCAAGCACATGGGAAGCCGGCACCAACTTGATTCCCGGATCGGCGTCTCCCCCTCCCCCTATGTGCCGCCACCCCCCTCCAATCCGTAATTCCGTAAAATCGCGCGAAAAGCGCCCTAATCGAGCTGGAGAGCGGCCCCCAGCCGCATGGGAGCGTGCCCCAGCTAGCAGGAGGCGTTAGACGTACTTTCGGAAGGACTTTCGGCGACGTCCGTTCCCTTGGACACGTCGACAAATGGCACCGACCGACGCAGCTCAGCATTGTGCTGGAGCGCCTGCTCAACGAACTCGGAATAGCCAACCTCAGTATGTTCGAGACTGTGCTCATGCACGATACAGGCGCGGTGCTCGACGCGATCCGAAGCACCGCTGCAGCCGCAGAGGCTGGTGCGGCGGTTTATGCCAGCTCGGCCACGAGCAATGTTGTTGTGTGCCAAAGCAGCACTGCTACCGCTGGCGCAATCTCTGTTCAGCACGAGGGCAGCATCTCCCGCACTCTCGTCAGCACAGACGCGCAAACCACGCTAAAGGGCTCGGACATCCATGCAGCCGCGAGTAGTGCGAGTGCTGAGATGCTGCTCCGGCAGGAGTTGGAAGAGAAGTTGCGGTCACAGACCAAGGAGCTCGCTTCTGAGCAGCGCTCTGCGAACGCTATGAAGAAGGCGCTCGCGTCGGCGCGGGATGAGCTTGCTGCGGCACAAGAGCTGAGGCGCTCCGACTGCGACAACCTGAGGACAGCGCAGCAGGCTGCTAAACGCGACATCAAAAGCGGCTGAGCGGATGGCCGACCAGGCAAATCATGCAGCTCGAGCTGAGTGTGAGTGGCGTATCGGCGAGATGCGGGCCAAGATGCAGGCCGAGCTGCGCGAGCAGCTCGACGCGCTGCAGATTTCGATGGAGGCAGAGGCGAGGCGCGCTGATGCCGCAGAGGCAGAGAGGTCAAGGCTGTACGACAAGATGGAGGGGATTATGCGCACGCGTGAGGGGTTGATAGACGCACTCGCAGAGGCGCAGCGCAAGCGCGAACAAGTGATTGTTAAGAGATATACGTAGCGTTACAGTCGTACGGTCGTCGACCCTCCCACCGTGTGGGCCGCCCGGACCCCGGAGAGCGCGCTGCGCGCAGCGCTGCGCGAGCATTGGAGAGGCCAGCCCCCGGCTTCTCAGCATGTCGCGAGCGCTGAGTCTCTGCCTGCCTGGTAGCTGGGTGCGGTGGGCGTGGGGGACTCCCTGGTGGCTTTTGGTTACAAATTTACGGATTTACGGATTTACGGATCGACCCCCTCCCTCCCCGTCCCGCGACCCGGCCGTGAGACGCCGATCCGGGAATCAAGTTGGTGCCGGAAGGGGGGAAAGCGCGGCGGGGAGGCGAGAGGGCGCGGGCGGGATCCGGGATGGGGCACAAAAGAGCACATGCACATGCGTACGATGGATCGCGGCCGCGAGGAGGCAGCCATCAAGGCGCACACAAGAGCGGGGGCAGGCGAGGACGGCGGCGAGCGCAGCGGGCGGCCGCCCCACCTCCCCGCGGATAGGGGACGGGTCCGTCAGCTGTCGCAGCTCTTCCACGCCTCCGAGTTGCGGTCGCCGTGAATCGCTCGGGGGGCCGGACCTCTTTTGCCCCGTGTGCCGACACGCCTCTCTCCATCATCTTCAGAGCGCCTCTGAGCTCTGTGTGGAATGGGCGGGTCTCGCGGTCGCGGTCGCGCGGTGTCGTGTGTGTGAACCGGCGTTACGCTCTCGCGTCTCGGCGGACTGGGCGCGCCGGCTGGACACGACGCGCTGCGGAGCTCGCCACCGTGGCTACACGAACTGTTGGTCGGTCGTTTCGCGGTTGACGCGAGTGTGTCCCCTCGTCTAGCAATATTCACCCCACCAAAACGCCCGTGGATCGATTCTGCTCGACGCCGACACTTGAGCCGACGACGCGCAGAAAGTACGACGACCCTGGCGCCGCACGCACGCGCGACGCGCCTTCCCCTCCCCCGGGGGGTCGGCACGTGGAGGCGTCGGGGGCTACATGGTCCGACGACGGTGGCAAGTGCCCCTCGAGCCGGCTTAAGTTGAAGAAGTAACCCCCCATCCCGGCCGCGGCGCGCAGGTCGACGTACGCCCGGTGCCGCGGCTCGGCGAGGGCGATCGACTTGCTAGCCATCGGCAAGCTCGTGTCCTTCAGCCGAGAAATCACCTCGATGAGGCCATAGGCGGCGCGCGACGCGGAGAAGCGCCGCTCGAGGAGCCGGCGGCCGCCGTTGGCGAGGCGGCGCCAAAGCGACGCGTTGTAGTAGGCGTGCAGCGTCTGGCGTGCGAAACTGGCCGGCCTGTCGGCGATCAGCACGTCGCGGCCGTGTACCGCGTGCATGCCATCGGCGGCGACGCTCGTGCAAATGACCGGGACGCCCAGCTGGTGCGCGCTGTTGATTTTGCCCTTGACGCCGGCCCCCCACCGCAGCGGGGCGACCGAGAGCCGCATCCGGCCGTAGAGCGAGCGCAGCTCGGAGAGGTGGCCGTGGACGAGGATGCGAGGCAGTTTGGCGGGATCGCCCGCGTCCGTCCCGTTGAGGGCGAGGACGGCGGGGGGCATCTGGTTTGCTCCGACCACGTGGAAGATAAACCCGCGATCGGCTCGGGCGCGCGGGTCGGAGAGGAGGCGCGGCATGACGTGCGCGGCGAAGAAGAGGACGGCGTCGCGGTTGGGTAGGTGATTGAAGTTGCCCACAAAGACGAGCCCCGACCGCTCGCGGAAGAGCGCCACGGTGGGCGGCGCTGGCTCGTGCGCGTTTGCAATCACAACCACGGGCGGCGCCGAGAAGCCCTCCGCTTGTAGCTCTCGCCGGAGCGCGGCTCGTTCGGCCTCGCTGACGACCACGGCGATTGTGCTCGTCGCGGCAGCCCGTAGCTCTCTCGCGCGCATTCTGGCGTGCTCGGCCGCCGTGGCCGCCGCGCGGCTGGTGGTGGCGGCGGCGGCACCAAAGACAGAAGCAAGCAACTTCGACTCGGCGGCGTGTAGCGCCATGAAGCGTCGGCGCTGCGCCTCGCGCTCAAAGTGGAGGTCGACGGTGTCGAAGACGACGGGGGTGGTTGGGTAGGTGCGCGTCAGCAGCGGCGCCGCCGCCGCGTAGGTGTCGCGCCGAGCGACGATGATGAAATCGTACGGTTCGTGAGCAGCGCCCGCCGCAGACAACTGCGCGAGCGGAGGCAGCACTCGCACTCCGAGGAACTGCAGCAGCCTCGCATAGCGTGCGTGCCGGCCGGCGCCAGAGCGCTGCACCGTTGCGATCGAGACGTGGCAACGCATCGCGAGCAGCAGCTTAAGCAGCGTCATTGTGCGCACCGACCCCGAGTCGCGGTCCGGCTCCGGGAGGATCATGTCCAACCACAGGATGCGGTACGAGTAGAGGCGCGTCGCGGCGACGTGCGTGTATAGCCTCTTCATGGGCGCTCGGCATGCGGTGGCAGCGGGGCAAGCAGGCAAGTGCGAAGCCAGCGCGGCCGTCCACTTGCCGACGAAGTGGCGCCGGTTGCGCGCGACCCGCTTCTCCACCTCCGCGCCAAAGGTGGAGTGCGAGAGATGGAGGACGCGTGCGAGCGGCTGGTAGATGACCCGCAGGCCAGCCTGGCGCAGCGTGAAGGAGAGGTCCGTGTCCTCGTAGTAGCCCGGCGAGTAGTGAACGTCAAACATGCCGCGGCCGACGAAGTCGGTGCGCCGCACCAGCGCGAAGGCCGCAGAGACGTAATCGGTTTCGCGCGCGTAGCTGCGGTCGTGGCCGCCGTTATCGCCGCGGGTCGCGTGCGAGCCCTTGCGGAACCACGCGCCGGAACCGTCGGACCACGCGATCGCGCCAGCCTCCTGGACGACGTCTCCTACGTCCATACCACCCGTACACAGGTTTGGTTCTGGGTGCGCGTGGCAGGTTTCTTGTTGTCGGAGCGCCTTCGCCGATCAGCTGCGCGCCGACGGCACCGACATCCGCCAGCGTGTCAAAGGTGGCGAGCATCGCTGCCAGCGCGCCGCGCGTGACAAAGGCATCGTTATTGACGAAGAGGAGGTAGGTGCCGTTCGCGCGCCTCGCCGCCTCCGTTGTCGCGAGCGTGAAGCCGACAGCCGTAGGGTAGCGCGCGAGCTGGTAACGTATACCATGCGCGTGCGCCAGCGAAGCGAGAACCGCGGGTAGCTCGCCGGTGGAATTGGTGGAGCCGTCATCGACGAGCAAGTACTCGGCGGAGGGCAGCTCGTCGGCGCACGCAAAGAGTGCGCGCATGCACTGTGCTGTCATCGTCTCACCCTCGCGAAAGCTCACAATGACAGAGACGGCCGGGGAAGCTCCTCGCGGCGGCGCGCGTTGGCCGCCGCTGCCTCGACCTGGAGGCGGCTCGCCGCTGCATCGACGGAGCGGCAGGCGCCATGCCGCCTCCTCCACCCAGCTGGGAGGGTTAGAGGCCAACCGAGTGTGCGACTGGAGCGCTGGCGGCCGGAAGCGTGCCGTCCGGGCCCAGTCGGCACGGCTCATCCATGCAGGCTTGGCCACAGCGCCGCCCTCTCCGCTGCCGCCCTCCGCGTCGGCCTCCGCTCCACGCTCTGAGCTTCCGCCCACGCTTTCACTGACGAGAGTGCCCGCGTCCCCGACGAGTCGAGAGGCGGCGGACGTGGCGCCGCCGCGGATGGCATCCTCGTTGACGACGCCACTCTCGGCTTCGCAACACCGCCATGCAAATGTCAGGCGGAGCCGCGGCCAGTCCAATTCGGCTGGCCGTGCCGGCGAGTAGTAGGCACACGAGTCCCGGACGCCGCGAGCTGGCTTCGAGGCAGCCTCACGGCGACTGCGCCCGCCGCCACGGTTGGCAGTCGTGCGTGCGGCGTCGAAGCGGCGCTCAAAGGTGGCTTCCGGCTCGGAGAGCACCTCGTCGAATTCCGCCTTCGGGCCATCGGCTGCAGCGGCGTCGAGCGATCGGCCACCGCTATCGCTGGCGTCGCGGATCAGGAAGGCGAGTGGGCTGCGGGAGGAGGAGGTGGGAAGGGTCAACGGCCTCTCTAAGTCCCATCTCTTTTTGCACCGCCTAGGCTACAACCACCTGCTCGAACGGGTGCCGAGAATTGAACCCGGAGTCAACGCAAGAGGTACCCGAAACCGACCATCGTAGACTATGTGTGACCACTGCGCGAGCAGACGCCGGCCCTCGTGGAGCTCCGTGTCCGGTGGGACTGCTGAGCCAGGCAAAAGGTACAGGCGGTGCGTGAAGTTGGCACCGAGGCGCGACGCTGCGCGGTGATAGCAGCGGCGCGTCCCGGTGAGCTGCAGCTCGGCGTCGATCAGGTGGCGAGAGTGATTATTCGGGCGCTCCGCCGGAAGTGCGAGCCGTGCGAGCTCAAACCGCATGTAGGCTGCCCACACTGACCCTTTGACCATGAGCGTCGGCTTTTGAGCGGTGGCGTTGCACGAGGGCAGCGAGCAAGAAATGGCAGCATTCGCGTACGCGTGGCGGACGCACTGATCCGTGCCTGCCATCCTGTACACACGATCGTCCCACCACGCGGCCACCTGCTGTCGTGGCTGATGCCGTGGCACTCGCTTGCCAGTGCCAGCCAATGCGTTGCTGCCGGCGAGGTGCGCTGGCGTTCGGACGATGGCAGTAGACGCACGGTGCGACACCTCCGTGGCAGTGTGGAAACGGCGCACGACAACAACTGCTAGCAGAGGCAGGCATGTCGCAGATGCAAGCAAGACTCGCTTCATGCGCAACTCGGCAGCGCCCGCCGCCAAGACGCAGGTCGGCCTTCTCAGTCTTCTCAGGTACGGGAACGATGGTGCTAGGGAGTGGAGCGAAGAGGCGCCGGGCGCGCGCACGCCTCCGCAGGAGAGCCGTCCGAAGGAGTGCCGTCGGCCTTTACTTGGGCTGGGTGTGTGCAGCCGCACCCTTTTCGACGCATGAGTGAGGGTTGTGTCTTCTGAGATGTTTGTTTTTGTCTTGTGTGTGTGTGTTCTGTCTCCATCCACGTTTATTTATCGATTTCCGTCTCACAGTAGCGTATTTTGAGCACTGAGAAGGAGAAACGATGGGGGAAAAGAAATGAGAAAATGTGAATTCAACTGAAAATGCAGTTATCTCTTATGAATCCCTCAAACAAAGGCAGTGTTGTATGACTCCGTACCAACACACGCCGGACACTTGATGATGATGATTCCCCGATTGAATGATTCAATCATGAATCAATGATTGATGTGTCCTCAAGACGTTTTTATGCGCGCCCCGAGTGTATGCGGCCACCTCGGCACGATTGGTCCACAGCGAAGCCGGAGCTCACACCTCACAGCTCAGCACAGTCCACAGACCCACCTTATTCTACTCCAGAGCTAGAAAAGACAGTACATTTCCTCAGAGGAACCGGAGAGCGAGCACAAGAGAGAGACTCGTCACACTACGAAAACACGCTATATAAGCAGTAAGCACCGGAAGCGAATCGAGATATATACGCCATGTGTCTTCGCCCTCCCCCGCCCACAAAACCACGCAGCGTCACAAACTCCGCCGAAGTCAGGCAATCTTGGTCTCGTCCGAGAGAAGGGGGAGGGCGCGCCTACGTGGTTTTCACCGTGAGCAGGGGTGTGCACTTGCCGCCTCACACCCTTTACCAGAGAGGAAGCAAAACGTGCATGCAGCCGGCGGCAGCGAGGGAAGCGACAAGCGAGGAGAGAAGCACCACGAGTTTGGGCGTGCCGCGCATCGGGGGCGGCAGCGCAACCTCGGTGAGGAGCAAGCACATCGTGAAGCCGACGCCGCCGAGCAGCCCAACGATGCCAAGATGCCTGTTCCCAACCCCGAATCTCAGAACTCGGTTTCAGACAACCGCACGCTGACGACGCCACGTGCCGCTTGCTCATCCCTGCTGGTAGCGACGCGACGCCGAATCGAGACGCCAGCAGCGACGCGCCGAAGATGCCTAGCGGCTTGCCCAGCAGCAGACCGGCGCCGATGCCGGCTGCCGGCGCGAGCGACGCCTGCGCCAAAGCTGCCGCCGCGGCGCCGGTGGCAGGCGCGCCGAGCGGGACGGCAGTGTTTGCGAGCGCAAAGAGGGGCATGATGCCAAAGGTGGAGAGGGGCGAGAGGCGCACGACGGCGCGGTGGGTGAGCGCCTCCGAGACGCCGGATGGGGCCGTGTGCTGCGCGCGCGTCGAGATGCAGAAAGCGGCGAGCACGCCTGCTCTCACACCGGAAGAAGTGGGAGGAGAGACTCCGTTTGCCAGACCGACGCGGCGGACAAGCTCACCGGCGATGTCTGCGTTGATGCCGGCGCGCAGCAGGCAGTACCACAGAGCCGCTCCCCCAGCGGCGAACGCCTTCAGGTCGGAGGAGCCGGTGCGGCCAAAGGCTGCGAGGCCGGCGGTGACGGCGGCGGCGGCGGCGAGGAAAGGGAGGGAGACGTTGGAGGCGAAGCAAGTGGCCAGGACGAGGATGGCACCTGACAAGAGGGGGCGAATGGCGTCTTGGCTGTCTCGGCTTGTCGCCCTGCCGGCTCGCCGCCATCTCGCGGCGCCGAGGTCATCGACGGTGGCCAGGGTGAGGAGGAAGGCGGAGGCCGAGGGCGGCATGCGCTTGCGGAAGAGGCCTGCAGACAACACGAGAACTCTCGATCGGGCAGTCAGATGTGCATCAGCGTCGATGCGGATGCGCCAGACAGCCGCGTCATCTCTCGGCAGAACTCGGCTGGATCTCGGCTAGATCTCGGCTGGATCGCGCCGTACACAGCCATGGCGAACGCGATGTCGGTCGCCATTGGCACGGTCAGCGCGGCGAGGGATCCGCCGCTGAAGCAGATCGAGACGACGCCAAAGTACACCGCCATCGGGACGAGCATGCCTCCGAGCGCGGCGATGCAAGGCAGGGCCGCCTTGCGCATGGACGCCAGGGAGCCGACGCGCATCTCGATCTTCATCTCGAGGCCGACGATGAAGAAGAAGACCGCCATCAGCCCCTCGTTGATCCACGCTCTCAGTGACAGCGCGTGCCCGCCGATCGCTGGGCCGAGCGGCCGCTCCCACAGGCGCAGCCAGCCCGCGGCGGTCCCTGCGCTGTTGGCCAGCGTGAGCGAGGCGGCCGTCGCCAGCAGGAGCGCTGCGGAGCCAAGTCCGGCCTCCTGCGCTTCGCTAAGCGTCTGCAGCCAGCCCGGCAAAGGGATGTGGTCCTCGACGCGGCCGCCGTCGACCATCGGTGCCTCCACCGCCACCTCGGCAATGCTCGCCTGCATCGCCGCGCCGGGAGCTCCGTCCATTTGCGGTCCGCCAGCAGCGCACAGCGGCAGCGCCCGGCGCAGAGGCACGCGAGCGGGCAGCAGCCGGGCTGCCCCGAGCGATGCCAGTGCCAACAGGATGCTTGTGCTAGCCCGCATCTTTGGTGCCTCTTGTCGCACGGCGGTAGGAAAGTTTTTTTCTTTCTACGATGCTAGCTACCGTTCGGTCGATGTACATATAAAGGCCAAGAGCACCGGTTTGATCTCGGGATATGAACGGCGCCCAACCGCACACACCAAACCATGCGACTTAGCGCGGTCACCGCGGTCGGGCGGCACCTCAAAGTGGAATCCGCAGATGCTCCACCGCCGCTTCCGACAAGCACCACCACGAGTACGCCCGAGTTGCCAGCCGAGGCGGAGGCGAAGCTCGAGTTTCCAACCGAGGCGGAGGTGCAGCTCGAGGTGGGCGGACCCATCGATTCCAAGAAGAGTCTCGTCGAGGAGCACGCCGCGGACCACCACTGCGAGTGGGTCGACGCCACCCTCTCCCTCGTGCTCTTTGGGAAGCTCGGGGTGGCGTCGCGCTTCTTCATCTCCCGGGCTTTCCTCGGCGGGCGCCACTTTGACGACGCCACCCCCTTATTCGTCGCGCTGCCTGCGAACATCATCGGCACCTTCCTCCTCGGCCTACTTTGCCCCGGCGCGGCGGCGGCGCGCCTGCTGCCCGCCGAGGCGGACGATCGGCGGCGGCACATCGGCGCCGCCGGCCTCGCTGGCCGGCCAGCGGCCCGCGTCAACGCCGCCATCCTCCTCGGGCTGCGGACCGGCTTCTGCGGCTGCCTCACCACCTTCAGCTCGTGGAACCAGGCGATGGTGCAGCTTGTGGCGGCCGAGAAGGACGGCGTCATCATAATGGGCCTCAAAGGTGCACTGCTGGGCTACGCGATTGGCCTCTTGCTTCCCATCGTCGCGCTGCACCTCGGCCAGGCCGCTGCGCTGTACGCTGGCCTGCGGCTGACGCCGCGCGGCCGCTCCTCGCACGGGGCTGACCCCTCGCAGGCTGCAGCCGGAGGTTGCTCGGCGTCAACGGCCGCGTGGTGGCGGTGCGGCGCCGCGCTGGCGCTGCTGCTCGCAGTGGCGGCCGAGCTGGGCGTGGGGCTGTCGCTCATTCCGGGGATGGACGGATGGGCCGACGAGCTGACGCGGCGGTTCTTCCTCGGGCTCCTGTTTGCGCCTGCGGGCGTGCTCCTGCGGCGGGGACTCGCCCTCAAGCTGAACGCGCGCTGCCCGCCCTTCCCCCTCGGCACCTTTTCGGGCAACGTGCTCTCCTGCGCCGTCATGGCGCTCCTGTACGAGGCGATCGACGACGACGACGACGACGCGCCCCACTTTGCGCTCGTCGCCCGAGCCGTCGGCCTCGGCTTCTGCGGCTCGCTCTCCACCGTCTCCACGTTTGCCGACGAGGTGAGCGAGCGGCTCCGCCCCTCCGCTGCGACCAAGGGCGAGTGCACGTGTGCCGGCGTGCTGTACGCCCTCGCCTCCCTCGCGTGCACCTTTGGCGTCGGCTTCCTCGCGTACGCGCTCACGCAGCGCTGCGACGAGCTCGACCGCTTCTGCCACACGGGCGGGGCGGACGCGCTGCGCTGGCTGGGCTGAGCCACCGAGACGTGGTTCTTCGAGGACGCGTTTGCGTTCGCGTGCGTGCGTGTGATTGGCGTGTGGGCTGCACAGCGCCTGAACGAATCGTCGAACACGTGTGTGAGAAGAGAGAAGGGCCGCCTTGGATGCGGGTCCGCGCACAGCGCACAGTCCCCACGCCGCGGCGCCCTGCGGGAGCGGGAGGTTACCGTGCCGGTGCCGTACCCCCGTTAAAAAGATTTTTGCAGATCGCTCTCTTCACACATCACAGGCGCATCCAACCTCTCCCCAGTTTTTTTATAAAATGAACTCGGGGGCACGGGACGCGGCACAAACGGGGCACAAACGCCAGGCTACAAAGACGGGGAGGCACGTAGCTCCCCAGTTCCCTCTCTGGTCTCGGCTTAAATATCTGGTGGCGCGTGGGATTCCCCGGGGCTGTAGCCTATAGGCTGCCCGTCCTCACAATCCTCCTCTCCACCTCCTCCCCGCACGCCGCACCCTGCCCTGCTTGTCGCACGTCGCGCGAACCCATCAGAGGTGCGCGCCTCCGCGAATTCTCTTTTCCGGTCTGCCCTTGGCTCGCCGCTCGCCGCTCACCGTCTGCCCTGGCTCGCCGCTCACCCACCTCATGCCGTTTGCGCGCGGCTGGCTCGTCTTTTTGCTAGCGTCCGCGCGAATGGTTGTAGCGGCCTCCGGAAGAGCATCGGGTCTGCGGGCCGGGCCGGTGTGGGCGTGTGCCGCGGCGCCGCTCCCGGACGCGCCGTCGCTAGCCGCAGTCCGTGCACTCCTCGAGGAGCGCGGCCGCTGCCCGCTCGCCGAGGTCGGGGACGAGCTACGGCGCGAGGGCCTGCTGCCAGAGGGCCGGCTCAGCGCGTTCGTGGCCTCCTGCCCCGAGCTCGCCCTCACAGGCCGGCCGTCCAAGCGGATGGTGTCCCTGTCGTCGGAGACGACTGACGCGGCGCTCGTACGTACCGTGGCGGGCGTGCTCGCAGAGACGGGCCCCGCCCGCACCGCGGCCCTCAAGCTCCGCCTGAGAGAGCGCGGCCGCCCCATCCCCGGCCTGCTGAGGCTCCTCCGCCGGCACAGCACGACGTTCTCGGTGGAGCGGGGGGTGGTTTCTCTGTGCGACGCTGGCGTGCGCGTGGCGCGGCTGGCTGACGCTGCCCCGCCGCTAATGCGGCTGCAGAAGCTGGCCCTCAGCGACCGCATGGGTGGCGGCGCGCTACCGCCGCCGTCTGCCGTTCGCGAGGTGATCCTCGTCGACATGGACAACAAGGCGTTCATGCTCGAGGCCTGCGCCGCCTATGCAGCACGCGATGGGTTCGACGCGTGCGGGACGCTCGTGCTCGGCTTCTGTGCCACCACGCACAACCCACGTCTATCTGCCGCCGCAGCAGGCGAGCTGACGGCTCTCTCCGATGCCGGCTGGCTCCGGCTGCTCACGCCGGTGCGGGATACGGCCAACGCCGCGGACTTTGTCCTTGCCTTTTGGGTCGGCTGGCTGCACGGGCAGCTTCCACCTGGCGCGAGGTTCGCCCTCCTCTCGACCGACATTCATTTGGATGCGACCGTCATCGACTTGCTATGCTCCCAAGGCCGCGACGCCGTCTCGAATCCCGATTGGCTGAGGCCGTCGTTGTAGCGACCATGGTCCATGGGGCGGGCTAGGGGGCGGGTCCCCGCAGTCGTGAGAGAGTCCGTGCGAGTCGTCGATATTTTTTGAATGAGTATATCAAACGACACAATTTGAATTTCTGTGGCGCGCGCTCCCCGCCGTTCGCCGCTCCCGCTGCCGGTGACGCGTCGGAGACGGCCGCGCGACACTACGCTCTACGCGGAGATATCGGCGGTACCCTCTCGGTATACAAGCGATCCTCTCACATCTCTCTTGAGGTCACTCCTCCTCGATGCTCGAACCATACGATACGCAATAACCCGGAAGCGGGGGCCAATGGGCCCCAAGGCATCCCCGCGCCTGGCTACTCAACGTTACTCACTCAGGTGTCGCCATCACCATCATGTTCATGTGACTTCGGACTTCGCGTCGCCGCCCGGGGATGCGGGTCGCTGTTTCTTCTCCCCCCGCTCGATGCGCGTGCGCTCCTCCGACGTGGGGCCCGTGTCGTCGAAGCAGGATCTGAGGAGCGCGCCGAAGACGCGGGGGGGCAGGGTCTCCACTCCCAGCATCGAGAAGCCGAGCTCCGTCAGCTCCAGCGTGAAGACCTCCGCCGCACCCTGCCGCACGCGCCGCACGAGGACGTCCACACGCACGCCCGGCAGCGCCTAGGGGAGGTAAGGTGCGGAGGCCATGTCTCCACATGCAACAGATGGTGGGGGCAAGGCCAGGCAGCCCTCGCGACTCCGCGTCTAGAAAGACAGGAGCCACACGGCATTGAAAGTGCAAGGCCTGAAAAGTGCAAGGCGCGGTGCGCGTGGGCGAGCGGCGTAGCACCTCCACCGACTGGGTCTTGAACCACGCCAACCACGCGGCGACCAGCTTGGCAGCCTTGTGCTCCGCCTGCACGAAAGCCTCGGCACCTCTCGACTCCTCCAGGACGACTCTCGGACCATCTCGCTAGCCGCCTGCGCCATCGCCTCCTCGTCGCCGCACAGCCACGCCTGCACCGCCTCGGCGCGGTCCTTGACCACAAACTCGCGCCTATAGCAGTTTGTCACGCCTCGCCTCGTCGCGCAATGCGCGGTCTCCGTCCACAGACTCGCGCAACATGTAGCCGTCCGCGTCGACCCACACAAAGTTGGAGTACACCTTGTGCACGATCCGCCCGTCGACCACGAACTGGCGCAGCTCGAAGTCATTCCTTGCGAAGTCCTGCACAATGACCGCGCTGCCGGTGACCGCCGGAGTCGTGCTGATGTCGAGCAGTGCGGTTGCCAGCTGCTGCTCTCCTCGGAAGATGCGCACGTGCGCCGCCTCCCACGCGAAGCCGAGCTTGGCAACGCCGCGGCGCGACTCCGCGCCCTCGACGCGCAGGCTTTCGGGCTCGCGCCGCTTCTTGCCGCGGCGGTAGCGGGCCGCGCGCACCGTCGCGAGGGCATCGACACACAACTTGGCGGCGCGGGAGGGAGAGGCACAGATGGTGGCGCGGTTGACTGTCACGGCCGGCGGGATGCAGAGAGAGGGGACGAGGCAGAGGCTCGGCTGCCAATCCTTTGCAAGCAGCGTGCGGTAGAGCTGGCTCGGATGCGGGAAGCGCGTGCAGACGCCAGCCGCTTCGAAGATCCGGACGGCGTCAAAGTAGGCGGATTGATCCAGCATGCCGGATTCGTGCACCTATTTCACCGGGCAGCGGTGCGCACTGCGCACGAGTTCCGGCCAGCGGCGCTCTCCGTGCACCCACCTCCCCGTCCTGGTGCATCACCGGCCACAGGAAGTAGCACCCAGCGCGATGCCGCCCGCGCATCATGGCGCAGACCGTCGCCGGGCCGAGCCTGGCCATGTCCAGGCCGCTCGTCACGAAGACAGAGATGACCTCATAGTCGGGCCCGAGGGTCGGGTAGACGGTCTTGTCCAGGAACGCGCTCACGTACGCTGACGACGTCGAGGCGCTCGCGGAGCCCCACTGCTCCACGTTGAACTCGGTCTCCTCGCCGCCCCAGCGCACCACGAGCAGCGAAAGCGCCGGCGACCACGGCGCAGCTGGCGGCATGCGCACATCGGTGCGCGGGTAGTTCATTACCATGTCGCGCTCCTATTCATAGCTAGACGCGTGAGGGGACGAACCACGACTGGAGCTTCACCGCACACTGCCGGCTCCCGCTGCGGGTCCAGCGTCTGGCCGTACCGGTCCGACCACAGTGCGTGCGAGTGCTTGACGCGAACTAGACTCGCATCTCCGCCGGGACCGTCTTCGAGCACCTCAGCGCCGATCCAGCCTACGGCGAGGGCGGGCGGTCACCACGTTTGCCAGCCCGACAGAGGCGCCGTCCTCGGCGTGAAAACTGCCACCGTCCGTCATGCCGAAGCGCGGCTTGAGGCAGCGGGCCGCCTGGTTGGGCACAGGGAAATAGCCCTCGCCGTCGCGCTCCATCCGGTAGAAGACCTCGACCGCTGTGCCGGCAGCAAATCTCGGTGACATCGAGTGTGAGCAGCGGGTGTGTTGGGCCTCGCCCGAGCGAGGGCGAGCGAGCGCGAGCCCCGTCGGCCACAAATAACGCGCGTGGTCAGCGGAGCTGCACCCGAGGGTTTTACCTCCTCGGTTGCAGAGCTCGTCGGAGGCTGCGGCACGACGGGAGGGTCGCGACAGCAGTCCTCGGGCGAGCCGACGCGCATGTCCAACCAGCGCTGGGACTCGTTGTGAGCTTGTGACGGCAGACACCGGCTGCCTCTCCAGCCGCTTCTGCAGCGTCCTTCTTTGCCCGGTGCATGGGCTCGATCCGATTCCGCAGCGTGTCGTCCCCAGCGGCGGTGTTGCGCCGATCTGCTTTCCGTAGCTCCGGATTTGGCGGACGTTCTTGGCTTCAATTTTACGGTGTCTTGGCACCAGCTGAAGGCTTGCCCCCGTCCACGGCCGAGATCACATGGTTTCTGCACGGTATTCGAATTTTGCTATTTGTTCGTGTGGGGGTATAACTATATTGCAGATTTGTCAAATGGTACCGCGTCTGCGACGCGGGCGCCTTGCGGGCAGAGCCCTTAGCCACCCTTTATATCTTGCGCGGTCAAAATCGCAAAAAGTGAAAGGGAAAATACCAACAGGACGTCGATACTGGGGCGACGGACTTGCCAGTTCAAAGGTGATACCGCGCCGTGAGCCGCGAGCGCATCTGCTCTGGGAAGCTGGAGTAGAAGGCATCCCACTGCGCCGCGGGCACCTGCGCCTTGTACCCCGTCGCGACGGCGCCGAGCGGCTCGCTCAGGCCGGAGGGCACCTCGTCCCACGAGGCGATGGCGGCGAAGAGCAGCGGAAGGCACCCCATCGCGGCGGCAGGGTGGAGTCGCAACATCTCAACCAGCCCGTGAAAGGCGTGCTCCTGCATTCAAACAGAATCGCGGCATGAAGAAAGGCCGTTCACACGTCTCGGACGAATGTGCTACTTCCTCTTGGGAGAGAGGCCACATCTTGGGCGGCGCGCCTTCTCGACGTCGTCGCGGATGCCGCGCAACGTCTGCAGCCACGGGCCCGCAAACGTCTCGAGCGAAGGAGCCACCACCTGTGGCGCGGCGCGTCCAAGGCGGCCGATGGTGATGGCGCTGTTCTCGAGGAGCGGCTTGCCGACCTGTGAATAGCAGGCCTCTCCGGTGAACAGTGAACAGACGACAGCGAGACTGGCCGGGACTGGCCGAGGCTGGCCAACAGCCGGAATCGGCGCACCTCGTGCGCAGGGCGCGTGATGATCAGAATCAGGTGCTGCAGGATCGCGGAGACGTAGGGCGCGATGGCGGGTCCGACCTTGGCGGTAACCTCGCCAATGGCCCACGCGGCGTTGTTGCACACGGAATGGTTCTCCGGCTTGAGAGCGCCGAGCAACAAACCGAGGCACTCCTGCTCACAAAAGGAAAGTGAGGGGACGCTCTCCGCAGAGAGCGGCGGGCAGCGAACCGACGCTTCCTCCAACACGGGCAGCAGTGGCGTGTGGCACGCCTTGGCAACGTCGCCTTTTCACAGGAGAGCGCGTCAAGACACGCCTTCACCGCTGATGGAACGAGCTCCGCCTCCGGTCGCCGACGAGCGCAAAAGCGGACTGCCGCACGTCCGCCGACATCGTCTTCTCGCGCATGCAAGCCACCAGGAGCGCCGGCAGCTGCGAGCCCTCGAGGAGGGGGCCCGCGGAGCCTCCAAGCCCCTCGGTGAGTCCCGAGAGCAGGTCGAGCGCAGAGACGAGAAAATCGCGGTCGGGCGGCTCCGCGGCGCCGGCCGGGTCGTACGCGGCATCAGCGGCGAGCACGCCTGCGCACACAATCGGGGGCGTGGGGAGGCGCGGTGCGAAGGGAAGTGTGGATGGACGGCGGCGGCGGCGAACACGCCGGCGATGACTTGCAAGCACCGCTCGTAGACGGGCTGCGCGAAGGGCTGGAATGCGAGGCCGAGCGCCTGGGCGAGGGAGGTGAGGCATTCGAGCAGCGGGAAGGTGGCGCGATCGTCGTCCGCCAAGGCGGCCCAGCGGGACAGCAGCGGCGGGACGAGCTTCTCGACGTGGCGCGGCGCGGCTAGCTCGGCACCGACGGCGTCCGCAAGCGTGCCAACAGCGTCGTATAGGATGAGCAGGTTCTTGGCCTGCGCGATTCATGAGCTCAGTGAGACCGCGCACCGACGCGTCGGAGTGGGCACAATATCGGCCTGGTAGCGGCCATACGCCGCGAGCAATGCGCTCAGGATGTCGTCGAGGTAGGGGGCAAGCAACTCTCGCGCCTGGTGAATCGATGGCCGATGGCCGATGATTCGTCACGCGGGGCTGTGGTAAAGGCGCGGCGCGGGCAGCTCACGCGCCTCCTCCTCGAGGGTGGCGAAGGCGGAGCAGGCCGCCTCCTGCACGCGCTTGTTGTGGTCCAGCACACGGTGGAGCAACCTACAGCACCCGAGCCACTCGCGTTGTCACAGCCCTTCCCCGCTCGCTGCGGTCAAGCGCGCGGCGTAGCCGCCCACGCAGCAGCGGCTGCAGGTAGGCGGCGGGCTCGCGCCCCGGCTCGCAGATCCAGCGCGAATAGCGCGAGAGGGTCCAGCAAGTGATCGAGCGGACGAGGGACGTGGGGTGGTCCAGCGTCTCCACCAGCCACGGCACCAGCTGCGGCAAAAACGGGGCCATGCCCGCCTCGCAGCCCTCCGAGATGGCCCCGAGGGCAAGGATCGCCGACTCGCGCACCGGCCACTCCTCGCACGCAAGACGCGTCTGCAGTCCGTCGGAGACTCAACTTGTGACTGCAGTGGAGCCATCCCGAGTCGGCTGTGAAGAGCCATGGGGCCGTCTACGAGGGCTACATCCCAGCTACTCAGCATCTCGCCTGCAGCTCTGGCAGCAGGTGCGGCAGGATGGCGCCGCCGAGGGTGCCCGCAATGATGTCGAGGCCAGACGCGGAGCACTTGCGAAGCGACCACTCCACGACCGCGCCGTCGTCGTCGTCGTCGTCGTCGTCGTCGTCGTCGTAGTCCTCCTCTCCCCCCCCGCCACCGCCGCCGCTGTAGTGAGCGGGGCGCGACTTGTGGAAGCGCGGCTTGATGTCCTCGGGCCGATCCGCCTCGCTCTCGTCCTCCTCGCCCGTCGCGAGAAGCTCCGCCTGCTCCACCTCTGAGTAGGCCATGTTGCGAAGCAGCAGCGGTATCAGGTGTGGCAGCGCGGGGCTGAGGGCAGAGACGGCGCAGCGCGTCTCGCAGAGCGACGACCAAAACTCGCTCGCCTCGAGGGCGACCAGCTTGTCGGCGTCGGCCGAGGCGGAGAGCATGAAGGTCACCAGCTGCGGCATCGCAGGCTCCAGCTGCTCGATGGCTACATCGAGCAGCAGCACCAGCGCCTGGCAGACCAGCCGGCGGACGTCTTCCGACGGGTCCGCCTTGGCGGCGTCGAGGGCAGCCAGCAGCTGGGGCAGCAGCTGCTCGAGAGGCTCCTGCTCACGGCGGGGAAGTCGGCAGCTGTTTGGCCACATCTCGGCTATTGTCTCTGCCATACTGCCATACCAGATCTCGAGCCGGGGGGAGAGGGGGGGGGGGGGGGGGCAGAGAGCCGGGTCCCAGCTACACGGCTAGGTCTCGCGCCGGGTAGAGCGGCAGAAAGTTGTTGATGCAACCGACGGCGTGCTTGCGCAATGCGGCGTGCCTAGCCGCCGCCGATCCGGTGAGGAGAGGCGGCCTCAGGAGCGCATGCGCAAATTCACTGCGCGCGGCGTGTGCGCGGCGGAGTGTGATGTGAAGAAGGAGATGGCGCTTCAATCTCGGCTACTGTTCACGGTGAGGTGAAGAGCGAGATGAGTGTCGACAGCAGTGGCGGCAGCAGCGGCTGCATCGATGCGTGCGTCACCAGCTGCTCACAGCTGTCCTCGCACACCTGCTCATGGAGAGGCGAGGTGCGTGGTGCGCGTGGTTGCGTGTTGTGTGCGTGTGAGAGGGGGTGGAGGCGTTACTCACGCACACGCACACGCACACGCACTCTCCCCTTCTCGCGCGCCTTTGCCAGGGCCGCGAGAGAGCCCTCTGCGGCCTGCAAGCTCGCCGGGTCGGCGCCCGTGCCGGTCGCCGTCTGTCCACACCAAAAGGTCTGAAGGGTTGTTCACACTAGAGCGCTCCACCTCCACGCGGCACCGGCTCGAGTGCACGCAGCAGCGTCGGGACGAGGTCCGGCCATGACGGCAGTCCCGCGGCGTAGGCGATGGAGGTGACGCAAGATCCTGCGGTGCGGGACGCGTCAGCGCCTCTCGAAGCGCGCTGGAGAAGAGCAAGCGAAACGGCAACCGCAGCGAGAGAGATGTCACGGCTGGCGGTGTGAGAAGGCAGGAGTGGCGAGTGGCAAGCAAGAGCGAGAAGGCTGAGACGGCCCCAACAAAAGAAAGAGGTGGACTGCCGCGCGCCTGCTGTCATCCGCAGGAAAGGCTCCGGCGCGCCGATACAGGAGAGGACAGCCTGCTGGACGTAAGCCTGCACGGGCGGGTGCAGCTCGTCCCACCGCTCGCGCACGTTGTTCTTGAGCACCAGCCCGGCCATCTGAGAGAGCGGGGCAGTGGGCAGGAGTGGTGGAAACGGTGGCAGGCAGGTGACGGTGGCAGGGGCGACGGCGGTGGCGAAGGCGGTGGCGACGCTTGCAAATGTGGGACGGCTCGCCTGCCGCACAGCGCCTTGCTGGTCGGCGCGGTGAGCAAAGATGTGCGCAAGGTAGTTGTTGAAGTCCGGGACACATGCGTTGAAGGAGGCGAGGCGCTGCTGAATGGCGCGGTGCGTCTCGTTCGACGCCGACTGGCTCGACGCGAGCAGCTGCAGCACCTCGGCGAGACCAGCCTGGTCAGGCTGCCACTCAGACATACGCGCTCGCCGCGCCTCCCACGCTAGCAGGTTCACGGGCGAGCAGAAGAATTTTACGATTGGTACAGGAAGAATTTTAACAAAAAAGAAAGGCAGCTTCGATTGCCACACAGACATGGTGCGTCATCGGCTCGTCAAGGTTGGAGAAGGGGAAGGGGGGATGGGCGGTCGGCGAGGGGGTGGGGTAGTTAGTCGCAGGGAGGGAGGGCGTCGTATGGGGTCAGTCGTTCACTTTCCTGCCTCGCAAAAGGGAACAACTACAACAAAAGGGATCAAGCTCTGGACGCCCCTCCTCAAGACCTCCTCGCCGGGCGTTGGCAACGCCTCGAGTGGCGGCACGCCCGCCTCCGTTGGCCACTCCTACGCCTTCGGCAACACCGAAGAAAAGGCCCGCCGCCTAAACATGGCTACATGGGCTGCAAGGCGCGCGGGCAGCCCGGCCAACCCTTCGACCACAAGACCGGCCACGGCTACGTCAAGGCGCATCGCGGTTTCTACCACGACGCGATCTTTGTCAAGCGCAACAACTTCAACCTGCTGCTCCACGAGACGTTCGGCGGCGGCTTCTCGCCCACCGCCGTTCTCAAGCTGCGCCGCCTCGCGCGCAAAGTCGCGCGCGGCAGCGTTGACCGCACGGCCTACTCGCCCAAGTACTCGCTCTCTTTTATGTCCCACCATGCAGAGCGCATCTCTCTCTCTGTTGTGCGAGGCGTGAACCGCGCCATTCGCTCTCACCTGGCAACCCTGTCTGCACGTCTCGCGCGCGCGTGAACAGGGCTCCAGGCCCCAAATTACGTGTGAGTGTTAGAGTTGTTTGGTATTGCTAAAAATCTCTCTCTCTCAAAAGGGCGGGGCTTTGGCCTTTATACGCTTTTCTTCATATTCTATATTCTTTTTCGAAGCGATTTTCAGCGATTTTTAGCCGGAATATAAAGAATATTCGAGAATATAGGTAGGCCCTAGGTAGGTAGGTAGGTAGAAAGGTGAAGAACAGCCAGGCTCGGACTGGACACCAACGCGGTATGGGTGGACGCTGGACAGATGATGACGACACGCACGAGCGACACACAGACACAAAAGGCTCACAAGACACACAGCCAGCTGGCTGCCACACACCCTGAGTTGGCGTACACATAACTCAAGGCCCTATTTGGAGCCATATTCTTGCCATATTCGAGAATATAGACCCTATTTTGGAGAAGAATACGGAAAGAATACGCAAAAAGAATCTAGATAGGACTCGGCGAGAAAAGCGTATAAAGGCCAAGCGGGGCTGTCCCGGGAAGCCGGGCAGCGTGACGCCGCCACCTTTACCTGCGTGTGCGTGTGCGTGTGCGTGTGCGTGTGCGTGTGCGCGAGCGCGCGTGTGCGCGTGCGTGTGCGTGTGCGTGTGCGTGCGTGTGCGCGTGCGTGTGTCGCACGATACTAGGCACGGGACTGGCGCGCACTGGCACTAACACAGGTACACCGCGGGAGCCGCCTAAGCGACTCCTGCGAGGGCGGCGAGGGGGGCGAGGCACTTAGCTCCGTAAAAAGAATTTCAAACTGCCAACAGCTGCCTCGCACGACACTGGGCACGAGGGGACTGGCGGTGGCGCGCACTGGCACTAACGCAGGTTACACCACGGGAGCCGCCAAAGTGACAAAAATACTTTTTACCTTACTAGGCACGGGACTGGCGCGCCTTCCCGAAAACCCACCGAACGAGCAGAAGAATTTTACGATTTGATCTGCCGATTCCGCCGCAGAGAGTGGCGGTCGAGGCCAGGCCGTGCGCGTGGGCCGGTCGGGCTCGGTGCCGCGGCGGGCGACCGGGCGCCGCACGGCTGGCCCCGTCGGCCGAACGGCGCCGCCGAGCGGCCGGGCGCTTCGGGTTGGGCCCGCCGGCCGGCCGGGCGCCGGCTGGCATGGACCATGGTCGGCCGGGCCCCCGGGAGGCAGGGGCGGGCGCGGTCGGGAGGGGGCCGCCAAATCGACCAAATCGAAGTGGGGTGCCGCTACTTTCAATGATAGGGATTGTTGGCATAATATGCACCTCCGCACCGGTGGTGTGCCGGTGTGTGTGCTAGTCTGCGCCATTCCGCACCCTTGTTGTGTCAGTGTGCTGTGACTCGCCATCGATGCGTCTCCTCTTGCGCCGAAGCGACAAAACAAAGAGTTGTTTGGTATTGCGCCCAGGGCACAACAACAACACACAAAAACAACACTCTCGCGCCGAAGTTATGTTTTTTTGGTGTACCTGTGTTAGTGCCAGTGCGCGCCAGTCCCGTGCCCAGTGTTGTGCGAGGGAGTTTTGCTTCGCATTTTAACCGCGCAAGATACAAAGTTGCGCCACAAATTCTTTTTTTAAAGCCCGAGATTGCCGCCGCTTTTTGTGCTTTGCTTTGGCTGTGGCAGTGTAGCCCCGTTATCGCGGCGCCATCGCGTGGCGGCGGTAGGGCGATTTTTCGCCGCCGATATGGGGTGGCCTGTCTGCGCCCTCGCCGCCCTGGCTCGCCTCGCTCCCGACTACCGGCGCTCCCTTAGCGCGCACATGACGAACCTGCGCGAGGACAAGGTCGGCGACGGCTCCGGCTACGACCGCTCGGCGCCTCCAACGTCTTTACGCCTGGAGCCGAATGTATCCCAAGCCGGGACGGACGTGCGCGTACAGCTACGGTTCTTCAAACTGACTGAGGTGGCCCTAGATCGGGGCTCGCTCACTGCCAAGGTCTGGTGGCGGATGAAGTGGCAGGACACGAGGCTCGCTTGGAACGAGAGCGCATACGGCGGCATCACGCAGGCCGAGTACGCGGCAGTCTCGTACTCGGACCAAGAGTCGACCGAGATCTGGCTGCCCGACATCACGCCGTACAACGGCAAGTTCGGGCTGATGGACTCGTTCGATCCCGCCGTCGCGCGCGTCACCTCCTCCGGCGACGTGCAGTGGAGCCGCCCGGGCAACCTGGAGGTGCACGGCTGCGTGCCCCCGTCGTGGTGTGAGCAGCGTCTCTTCACGTGAGCAGCGCCTCTTCACGTGTTCTGTGAACAGGTGCTCTGCCGCTTCTCGGGGATGATGATGTTCCCGCTCGAGGAGGACATCGAGTGCGTGGTCGAGATCGGCGGCTGGTATCGCTCGGGCGGCTTTCAAGGAGTGTGCTGCCCACACACACACACACACACACGCGCGCGCGCGCACGCACGCACGCACGCACGCACGCACGCAGCACGCACGCACGCACGCACACGCACACACACGCACACACACGCACGCGCGCACGCGCGCGCGTACTGGGCCCTGCACTTTGAATGCCGTGGGGCTCCTGTCGTCTAGACGTGGAGACGCGAGGGTCGCCCCCCCTTGCCCCACCACCTTGTGTGTGTGGAGAAGTTCACCTTACCTACCTTACTTTCAAGGCGTGCTGCCCTACGTCGACGGCGACGGGCAGCCCGCCTGCGCCATCGAGAGCACAACGGAGGAGTCGTCCCTCTACTCGTACACGGAGCACGAGATCGCCTACCTGGAGTGCGAGACCGATGTGTACCAGTACGACTGCTGCCCCAACGAGCCGTGGCCCATCCTCAAGGTGCGGATCCACATGGGGCTGGCACGCTGTCATATGGGGCTGGCACGCTGTCACTTGGGGCTGGCACGCTGTCACATGGGGCTGGCACGCTGTCACATGGGGCTGGCACGCTGTCACATGGGGCTGGCACGCTGTCACATGGGGCTGGCACGCTGTCACATGGGGCTGGCACGCTGTCACATGGGGCTGGCACGCTGTCACATGGGGCTGGCACGCTATCACATGGGGCTGGCACGCTGTCACAGTACGACTGCTGCCCAACGAGCCGTGGCCCATCCTCAAGGTGCGGATCCACTTCCATCGCGCGCTCGCATTCTACACGCTCGGTTTCATCGTTCCGGTCGTCATCTTCACCGCCGCCTCGTTCATGGTCTTCTTGATGGGCGAGAAGAGCGGCGAGCGGATCGGGCTCGGCGTGACGCTGATGCTGGTCATCGAGGTGACCAAGTACACCGTGCAGGCGTGGCTGCCAAAGTGCGGCGAACTCCTCTGGATGGACCTCTTCATCTTCGTCAACACCTGCTTCACCGCGGCCGCGCTCTTTTGGTCGGTGATCGTGCTAGCGCTCACCTACTCGGAGCTGCACACAGACGACAAGATCTCGGTCTCCGCCCTGTTTAGTGGCTGGCGGCCCTTCCTCGACCACCTGCGCAGCCGCGGCTGGCTGCCCTGCTCCCCAGACAAAGAAGGAGCCGAGGGCGCCATCCAAGCCGTATTTGCCGCGAAGCACAAAGCGGCGACCTCGCTCGCGCCTCTCCGCACGATGGCGGGCTTCAACTTGACGCCGTGCGGCCAGCTTCGCGAGCAAACCAGCTGGCTGCGTGTCGTGCCTGCGCTGGGCCTCCGGTGGGTGGAGCTCGAGGCAGGCTGGTCCCCTCCCCCCGGCTGGAAGCCGCTCCCGGTGGGCGACGCCGCGCTGAGGAAGGTTGCGCGCGCCTTGGGCGAGGCGGCGTCGTGCGGCGTGGCGACCCTCAGCATGGACCAGTTCGAGCGCTTCGGGCTCATCGGCGCGGTAGGCGACAAGAGCTTCGTCGAGGCGAAGGACGAGACCACGGGGAAGGTGTGCTGTCGCACACGAAACACACACACACACACACACACACACACACACACACACACACACACACACACACCGCTGACTCACCCACGCGCACTGGGCCTTGCACTTCTAATGCCGTAGGGCTCCTGTCTCTTTTAGACTTGGAGTCGCGAGCCCCCCTCCCCCTGCACCTCGTGTGTGTGTGAAGTTACCTTACGCCTTACCTTACCTCACCTTTAGGTGTCGCTGTTCCGCCCGGTCCGCCTGTCGAACCGGCTCGCCAGCAGCCGATTCAGCAGCGCCGCGGCCGTCGGCGACGCGGCCTCGATGCGGTCGCGTTCGGGGGGTGCGGACATGGAGCTCACCGTGTGCTCGGTGGACGGTCCGCCAGCGCTGCTCGAGGCGCTCGGCGAGCCGGGCGGCGCCCCCGCGGACAGGCACCACGTGCTCCTAAACCTCTCGCCCTTCTCGGCCATCACCCTCAGCGGGCGGGAGCGCAAGGTGGCCGGCATTGCACCCGCCGGGGAGTCGTTCGCCTTCGCCTACCCCGCGATGTTTGCGCCCGACGGCCCGGGCGCAACGGCCAAGTCCAGGGCGGTGGCGATCACTGAGGCGGCCGCAGCGGCCGCTGCGAGGTCCGCCGCTGCGCAGGGGGCGGCCGCTGGTAGTGCCCCTCCCGAGGCGTCGGAAGGAGTGACTGTCCGCGTGTCGGTGGACGGCCAGACCACGCCGCCGGTCATGCGCCAATCCGCCGACAGCCAGCCGGGAGACGGCGACGGCCGGCAGGTGCCGCACCCCTTGCCCCTCGGCCACTCTGTGTGTTTAGGGCGAGGAGACGTTGAGATGACCTTACCTACCCTACACCTAGGAGGCGCCGCCCGCCGAGCTGGTCGCCGCCTGCCGCTTCCTGCTCAACGGCGGCTTCGTGTACGTCGATTGCGACGGCGACTTGTGCCAGCCGCGCGTCTCGTTCGGCGGCGAGATCACCCGAGATCACCCGAGATCACCCGAGATTAGGCGACTTGTGCCAGCCGCCGCTGGCCATCACCCTGCCCGAGCCCGGCGAGGCGGACGAGCACGACAGCCACCACGCCTGCAGCGGGCGCACGGAAGAGGCTGGCGCGAAGTCGGGTTTTAGCTACCGCGCGCGCGCGCGCGCGCGCCAGGGGCGCTCTCTGTATCTGGGGCTCACGCGCGCTCACGCTCTCGCGCACTGTGTCTCTCTCAAGCTAGGGGCGCGCGCGCTCGCTCTCTCTCCCCCTCTCCGCTCCACTTACTGTCCACCAG